AGAACAAATTCCTATTGAATTTTAGCCTGTATGGACTTTAATAAGAATAGTAACTGTTTGTGTTGATTGTTTTAAGTTTGTTATTGTTGTTTGTTGTCTTATTAGGTTTAATGTAATAATAGTACTTTGAGCTCATACAATTTGATAATTTCAGTGAAATATGAAAAGTAAGAGAATGAAGCTAACTTAATAGAAAAATCTTGATTTGGAAGATAAAGTAAGCACAGAATAAGTTATAAAGATTGATAAATTTAAAAGCTGCAACTGAAAAAATTTTAACATGGATAAAAATCTCTGAATTAGTAAAAACTTTTTAAAAATAGACTGCATTTGGAAGATGGCTAGTCTTTCTTTATTTTTGGTAGTCTGGAATGTCAACAATAAAGAGATAACCAATCTTTTACAGCTGCATAGATAGATGAACCAGAAGTTTAGAAGCAGATAAAAGAGAAATGCAACTTAGTTCTCAGAGTGGATATAAAGACAAAAGTTATACCCTCTACTGACTACCTGTAAAATCCAAAAGGTTAGACTTTCTTAAGTGCTAAGAAACAAAGCTGTTTTAAAAAGAACTTTAAATTTGTCCCAAACTTAATGTTACAATTGTGGAAATTAGGACATTTGAGGAGAGACTGTCAGAGGGAGAGAGGGGAGAGTAAAATATCCAGGCTTTCAGTGGGCCACTGCTTTACCAGGAGAAAAATCAGAGTATACAATCCAACGTTTAATTGACACTTTTAATGTGATGGGCCTTCCATCAAGTATTAAAACTGATAATGCTCCTGCTTATAATTCTAAGAAAACATCTTAAGTTTTCTAAGGAAATCTTACTCTGGGATGAAAAGATGGTCAGAGTGGTTTACTCGAATGCCAAGGACTCAGAAATATGGGTTCTATGAAAATGGAAATTTTTTTCTCACAGAAGCACCTAGAGATTACCTCCAGTTGAAAGCCTTTTCAACATCTCAAGCTGAAGGGGCAGGGAAGGATATTCTGTGAAGAGAGCCCAGTAAGGCCTGGGGCTGTGAGAGGATCCCCCTATAGTAGGCATATGAGGGAGGAATGTGCTTCCCATTGACTATGAATATGTCTTTTAGGGGAACAACATCTTAGTAGGTTGCAAATTTAATGTTTCCGACACATCCTAGAGGACAACAGTCTCACAAGGCACTGTCTCTCTGCTATCATCTTACTGACCATAAGTTTGGCCATTACATAGTTTATCAGATCAGCTGCTTCTGGGTGCAGGAATATGGTAGCAGAAGTCCAAGGGCATGTACCAGCACACACCGCCATATGTCTTAGTAAGGGAGTGATCTTGTATGGGTTAATAAAAGCCAGGAAAAGGGTTTGTGGAAGAGAGGCAAATGGAGGACAAACAGCACAATGGCCTGCTCAAGTGTGGGGCACATAGGCCCTGAAAACACTCGGTTGTATCAGGCTTCTTGTTGGATGCCGTCAGGACAATTTTGTCTCTTAGTGAATCACATGAGAGAGTCTAGCTCCCTCATACGGTTTTATTGGTTATATCTTTTTAGAAGCAGATGGCAGTTGGTGAGTGCAAACCACCAGCCTTCTGATTATCAGTCAAGCACATAATCATTTTTGTCTCCGGAGAAGTTTGTGTTAGGCTACAAAGTCCAAACCGACTGGTTCTTTTCCTGACTCTGACCCATCTAATCATGTGACTGAAACCTCACTCAATGGAATACTAGCTTTCTCCAAGAATTTGATCTCTCACCTATCTCCCAAATCCTCCAGCTCTAAATGAAAGGGAATTATTTGATTCAGATCAAAGCTCTCATGCATATTCCTGAAGGAAAGGGTCTGCTTGGGGAGAAGTGGATGTTGTTTTGGAACCTCTGCTCAGCCGTGGGCAACTGGAACTATGTCTAAGGAATGCTGCATGACTCATCTGAACTGTAGCCCTTGAACTTCAATCACAAAGTCCTGTTGGACTCAAGCAGTGAGTCATGATGCTCTTGTTGGTGCCTGTTGAGATTGTGAATGTTTTGCAAGCAGTATTTCTATTGCCATCTCCACCTCTGAGAGTAAAAACTAACTCATAACTCATGTCTCATATGTGTCTAGATGGAATGGAATCATTGCTGATCCTCCAACTGGTATTCTGAAGAGATTGCCCATTCTTTTCCCTTGGGGTCACTGGCAGAATCTGTCTGTCAGAGAGGCATCACTTTTGGGTTAGCAGCCCAACTACTTAATGGAATACACTACTGAAACAGGGAAAGGCGCGCGCGCACACACACACACACACACACACACACACACTGTAATGACTTGAAATTTGGCCTTTTCTCTTATCCCTGTGGATGACTGCTCTTGCAAGCTCACTGGGGGCATTTTATTGAAAATGCTGACTCATCAGATCTTCTATATTACCTTACCACTGTGGTTTGTCTCAATCCTTTGCTCTAGTTTTGGACTTACTTGTCGTTATTATTGATAGGTACTTGCAAATAGATTCTGACTCATTGTATGCCATCTTCCTCACCAGATTTTGTACTTCATAACATCAGAATTAATTTTGGCCTTTTTGTTATCGTGCTCCAGTGTCTAATAAGATGCCGAGAATAGTTGCTTAAGAAATTGTTGATATGAAAACTCCTTGCACTCAGGAATTTGGAACAATGTAATCTGTTTATTTATTGTTTTATCTCTTAAATAGTTTGAGTATCAGGACTAAAAAAAATTCTTAATTTTAATTTAATTCTTAATCATGCCTGTCGTCAGGTACTGCATTCATGCAAAGAAAGGATAGTAGTGTAGTATTGTCTTTGTTAGAGTTCTTATAAATACAAGTGGGTGGCCTTAACAGAAAAATGTATTTTTTTTTTCACAATTCAGGAGGCTAGACATCCAAATTCAGGGTACCAATTTCAGGGGAAGGCTTTCTTTATCCATCAAAGGAGAAGGTCCTGATTCTTTAGTTCCTTGGTGATCTTCATGTGGTACGACACCAATCTTTCTAATCTCAATTTGCTTTTGTTTTTTCCCCTGCTGTTTTAACTGCCTTTATATCTCAAAAAATATCAACTCAGAACATATCATACACTCATACTGTCTCAATAGCCTAACAAAGAAAATTCATTCCCTAATGGGAACATAACAACAGAAATAGTGGATAGAAATTACAAAATAATTTTTTGGAGGTCACAATTCATTCCAAGTCAAAGGATACATAGCATTGGGCAAATCTGCTCTTTTTAATTTTTTAATTAATTTTAATGAAAGTTTACAGAGACTTAGGGTTTCCATTCATTCATTGATAGTTGCACTTTTCTCTCTGCCCACCTCCCCCAGCACCTCAATTTGCTGTTCTCTTTAAAAAGTAAAAGAAAAATTCCTTTGTTGTTATATAATCTCTCCCCCCAAGTCCACTCCACAGTGAAGCCTTCATTCTGGACTCCTGTCATGACAATAATACCTAATCATATATCCCTTTTAAACAGTTCTCTCCCTCTGCTACAATGCAGTATATATTATTTATCCCATCTTTCTCAGTCTCCCCCTCAACCTCTATGCCAGTCCCATTTTACAACAGTAGCCCTATGAGATATTTGTCCTTTTAACTGAGATATTTCACTCAGCATAATGTCCTCCAGGGTCACCCATTTTGTATAATATTTCATGAGTTCCTCGTTTTTCAATGCATCATAGTATTCCATTATGTGAATATATCAGAGCTTCTCTATCAATACTTTTGTTGATGGGCACTTGGGTTGTTTCCAACTCTTTGCTATTGTGAACAAAGCCTCAATAAACATGGGTGTGCATATATCTGCTTGGGTGGCAGCTATGGTTTCTTTAGAGTATATTCCCAGTAGTGGAACTGCTGGGTCAGATGGTATGTCTATTTGCAGCTTTTTGAGAAAGCGCCAATACAGCCTTGGATAGTGGTTGCACAATTTTACATTCCCACCAATAGTGAGTAAGGGTTCCAGTTTCTCTGCAACCTCGCCAACATTTGATGTTTGCTGTTCTGTTAAATTTTGCTATTTTGACTGGGGTGAGAGGATATCTTATAGTTGTTTTAATTTGCATCTCTCTTAGAGCTAGAGATTTTGAACTTTTCTCAGTGTGCTTGTTGGCCATCTGAATGTCTTCTTCGGTGAAGTGTCTGTTCATATCCTGTGCCCATTTTTCAAGTGGGTTATTTACCTTTATCTTGTTGTGATGGTAAATATGCTCTTAAGGACTCCTTTAAAGAGCTAAGGGGTGAGGATGTCAGTTTAAAGACTAAAAAGTGCCTTATTTGAGCCATTGTATTCTCAAGCGCTTCACAGATACATGAAAGTTGGGCATATGAATAAATAAGGAAGCCTTTAAATGACAATGATGATGGTGAAGAGTTCCAAAGACTGCTAAAAGAGCACATCAGTCTTAGAAGAATTGTAACAAGGGTGCTCCTTAGAGGCAAAGATGATGAAACTTTGTCTTATCTTTCCCTCTCTGCATTCAAACCATTTACCCCAGATTAGTACTGAAACTCTTTAGCTACTTCACTAGGTCAGTAAGTGGGTTTTTATTTGCTTCTTTGTGTCATTGGAGAACAAGTGGAAAGATTGTGAGCTTAATTCCAAGAACAAAGATGTCACTTTTAAGACTAAAGTGCGCCTAAATCAGGCCATGGTGTTCTAAGTCACCTGCTGTGCATCAGAGAGCTGGACATGAAATAAGAAGGACAAAAGGAGAATTAATGCCTTTGCGTTATGGTGCTGGAAAAAAAGAGTACTGAATAGTCCATGAACTGCCAAAAGAATGAACAGAAAAGCTTTGGAGAAAAAGGCTCAATCACATTTGCGCTTGCGCAAAAAAAGGAACTCACTGTCCGGAAAGACGGCGGGGACCTGGATTTGCGCAGGCGCACTGCTGTTTCAAGGCGGGACTGGGACGTCCTGGGTTTGGACAACTTAAACACTAAGCGTGAAGGCAAGGTGGCAGCCCTTACGCCGTGCGGTGCGCATGCGCGGGCAGTTCTTGCTGGTTAAGGGTAGAGAGGAGGACCCAGGCGGCCAGCTGGGTTGGAGCTGAGCTGGGTCGGGATGGACGAGGACGTGCTGACCACCCTTAAGATCCTCATAATCGGCGAGAGCGGGGTGGGCAAGTCCAGGTGAGGCGAGTCTGGGGGCCATAAGGAGGGATTTGCCTTGGCTTCTGTCTCTTGGGCCGCGAGGGGAACGGTAAACGGCGGACGCCGGGTGCAGGCCGGGCCCGGGAGGCTTCTCGCGCTGCCCTCGGCCTTTCCACCGCGGGTCCTGCGACTGCGGCTCCTCGCGCCCGGCCTGGCCTCCTCTCGGTTCACGGCCTCCGCCAGGCCCGACCTCTCCGGATCGTTTCCCTACTGTCGCACCGAGAAAAAAACAATCCCGATGGCCGCCTCCGGGCCGGCAGGTTCGCTGCCACCAGCACAGGGCGTGGCGGGCGGGCCTGGGCCGGAGACCGGCCGGGGGAAGCGGCGTTTCGGCGCACAGGCTCGCTGTCACCTCGCGAGTCGGAGTTGTAACTTTGTCACGTTAATATTTTCGTTGGGCTTTCTCTAGCTACGTAATGTTCTACATAGGAAGTTTCCAGACGCCTTATGTCACGTTCCTGACCTATTTTGGCCTACTCTATTGCCCCTTAGTTTATTTTATGACTCAGCTTTGAAAGAACCCTATGAAGTCTTCTGACTGCTTAAAAACTCACTTTAGTCTAATTTGTGTATGAACGCCCAAGTTGTGGGCCACCATTGAAAAGGGAGTGCAATTGTTACTTCTCATTCAACCACATCATATAGAGATAAAATGGAGCAGTTAATGTTGTGTCTTCTATTTTTTTGACTGTTTCTTGGGGACATCTAATAATAATAATAATAGAGTTGTGTGTCAGGTAGAACATGGAGCAGTGTTTGTGTTGCAAAAGAGTTATGATTTCATCCACGGCTTGGAACAAGGTTCTTCAGGTGAAGTCATCTTTGGCCACCTGATTATGAGTGGGATATTGTCTAGGCAGTTTTTATCTGTAAACAGTATTCAGATTCCAGAGGTTGTAGGCTCTTGCCTACATTTTATTTTATATTTTATGTCTATTTATTTATGACATTATATATGTCTATTTTATAGACACTCTTAGTGTGTTTCAAATAGTTTTAAAAATAACTTCAAAAAAGGCTTTTTAAAAAATGTGTAAGGATTTGGAAGTTTTTCCTGTAACATTCTGAAATTTTATGTATTAAAGTATGGCATTACATCTTCATAGGTTATCTCTGAAAAATTTTAACATGCTATGTATTCTTTAGTGAAGGATTTTATAAATACCAAGAAATAGATTAAAAAACCCCCAGCAGTATGGACTAGCACAGTTAGTGTGTGTGTGGTGTGATAATTTAAAAGATGAATAAAATCATTTACATGATCACCATCATAGTTGAGGATTAGAAGAGACTTACGACCTTTCTTTTTTATTTCTAGATTAAAGTATGTGAAGTTGATGTTTTTAGAGTCAGAAATTATCATTTTAGCCATTATTTGTTGGTTTTCAGAAATGTTTTGAAGGATTGATTAGTTAAGCCATGTTAAAATTTTCTGGAAAGTTAATCTAAGCTGTACAATGTTAACATAACAAGTTCTGTTTTTAACAATATATTCTGTTAAATTTATTTGCCTCCTTAGTTTGAGCACCCCAAGCAACTTTCCTTGCACCTAATATACTCTAAACGTAATAAGCAGTCAATTATTAACTTACTACAGAATTTTAAATTCTTTTAATCTACCTCATTCAAGGAAATGTAGAGTTGTGAGAGAAAGTCGACATATTTTTCTAGGTAGGTATACATTATTGGCCTATGTAATGTAATATGGAAAACAACTGTGCACATTCCCTCTGCCTGGGAATATTAACTAGCAAAATAGTGTGATTCCTGGAGGGAAATGGAATTTACTTCAGTTGAGCATAAATGATTTTGTACTAAAATAAACAAGCCTATGCTAAAAAGTATGTTTTCTAAAGGTACATTAGTGCGAAACATTTGTAATAGAATGTGAAAGGGTTCTTTGGAGTTCTGGGGCTAGTAAAAATGAAGTATCACTTGTGCTTTTGTCAAACTAATGCATAGTGGACAAGTTAACTATTCTAAAGTAGTAGATAATTTTTCCAGACATGTGGAGAGAGTAATAGTATTAATGCCACTTTTGTGTAATTTAGTGCATGATACATTCATACTCTAGGCCTTAACTTTATTCATTTGAAAAAGTGAAGGGATTGGACTAGAAACATTCTTAGATTCTGTGGCTAGACCTGGTGAGGTAAAGATGTAGTACCAGAAACTGGAAGGAATTGTAGACTTTGTATTATCAAAATTGCTCCATCTCCCACACTGGTTACATCTTTCTTTTTGGGTTAATTTCATTTGCAAATTAACAAGTGAAGACTAGTTAAATTCACACTGTGTATTCACCGTCTTCAAATAGCATAAACCTCAAAGTGTGTAGTTTTCAGGGAGACAGCCAACTGCCACATCTTTTTATTCATGGATTTGAGCCTCTGATCTTTGTGGGTTCACCAGTCTCCAGTGCTCCCCTTCTAAGTGGTAGTAGTTCTGTTTATTTGTAGGGAAATGCTTTGTTTAACTTTGAAAATATTGAGAGGGCAGTTAAGCATCTGTTAAAGTAGCTGTGATTGTTAAAACACATTTGGGTTATCGTCATGTGCCCGCCAGTCACCTGTGACTCATAGCAACCCTCTCTACAACAGCCCTAAACCCTGCTCGATCCTGTGCTAATCTTTTTTTTTTTTTAATTTTATTATTTTTTTGTGTATGTACCGTCAAATTGGGTCTGACTGGGACACAAGGAGATTCCCCCCACACCCCCTTCTCCAGCAGAGCATCTGGTAGATTCAATATCCTGTGCCAATCTTGTCTCAGACACACCTACCCCCATTTCCTCAGTTACTGAATCAATCCATCTCATTGATGGTCTTCCTCTCTTGCACTGTCCCTCCACCCTCCCGAGCATGATGTCCCTCTCCAAGGACTGGTCCCTCCTTGTAACATGTCCAAAAGTATGCCAGACGAAGCTTCAGAATTGTTGCCTCCAAGGACAACACTCTCTCCAGGACAAACTTGTTTATCTCTTAGCAGGCCATGGTATATTCAGTACTCTTCTCCAGCACCACAGCTCAAAGGCAGCAATTCTCCATCCCTAGTCATTGTCCAGCTCTCTGATGTATAGCAAGTGATTGCAAAGATTGTATCAGGCACATCTTTAAAAATTTTATAAGAGAAATAGAACTGCTTTGTAAAATACATGCATAGAATTAAAAAGACATCTCCACTAACCCCTGGTTAAGATCTGATGATTTACATCCAAGTTAATAATAAAATTTGTTCCTTGTACCTTAACAATTTCCTCCCTTCTAGACAAAGTACCATTGATAATGTTGTTGTAAAGATTAGAAACTATGTAAGAACAGTCCCTGATACTCTACTAAGTTATGCATGTTCAATGGAGTGTTTGTTATTACATCTAATCTAAAATATTATCCTGATATGTTTCTGTAGTAATACTAATCTTTGACTTGGTGACCAAATACAGTCACATTTCTATTCTTAAATTTTGCACAATGGAAATTTTTAATGTAAGTTGGATTTAGAAGGGGTCATGGCACTATTGCCAGTTTCAGATGGACCTTGTCAGAAAGCAAAGAGTATCAGAGGGATGTCTTATCTGTGTTTCATTGACTTTACAAAGGCATTTGACTGTATGGATCACAACAAATTTAGGCCAACTTTGAAGAAAATGATAATCCCAGAACACTTGATTGTGCTTATGCAAAACCTGTACTTGGACCAGGAAGCAGTCCTCAGAACAGAGCAGAGAAACACCACATCGTTCAAAATCAGGAAAGGGGTGTGTAAGGGATGCATCCTATCTCCATACCTTTTCAGTATACGTACAGAAAAGATCATTTGGAAAGCAGGGCTTTATGAGGAGGATTGTGGCATCAGGATTGAAGGAAGACTCGTCAACAACTTGTGTTATAAAGACGATACAACCTTGCTTGCTGAAACTGAAGAGGACCTGAAGTACTTGCTGTGGAAGATCAAGAACTGTTTCTCCTTGTATTCTCGGCACATGGTCAGGAGAGACCAGTCCTTGCAGAAGGAAATCATGCTCTGAAGGGTGGAGGGAGAACTCAGGAAAGGAGGGCCCTGGATGAAATGGATTGATACAGAAACTGGGATATTGGTAGTTGGTGTGTCAGAATTAGTGAGACTGGCTCAGGACTGGGCAGGGTTCAGAGCTGTTGTACATAGGGGTCGCTATGGGTCGTCAGCGACTCAACAGCACATAACAACAAAATTAATTTTAATAAATTTAGAAGTTTAATACTGGTGAGGAAAATATATGAATAGTCTTTTAAAATGTATATAAGTGCTATCTTAACTCATGGAAATAAAAATGGGTAAAGCCACGTTCAGGTTTAAGTAGGAAAATCTAGAGCTTGACTCTTATTTTTTATTTTGCTTTTGTATTTGGTTTAATATTAAAGACAAGGAAAGAAATATTTAATCTTTCAAATATAATAAATGACAGTGGGTTTGGAAACAACGAGGAGACTTTGGTATTTTGAAATATAGTCTGTGAACGAAAAGACATTGACAGCAGCAATAATTATGATCCCATATTTTTACATAGGTACTTCTGGTAAAGTTTCACTGGCAACCCAAATATAGGTGGTTTATGTCTATTAGTTGAAAGATGGGTAGTCTCCTCCTGTACAGGTAATTGCCTCTGAAAACTCACTGGAGGATCAGCTATGGGTTGGTTCTGACTTGACAGAACATAAAACAATAACATTGATATATTTTTTTTAATTGAGAACTCTGAACATTATTTAATCAATTCTTATAATTCTAAACAGGCCAAAAAACCCAATCTTATTCTAATAGTTAATGTACAGTAAAATGGGTTATTTTTTATAAGACGTTAATAAGGATGTCTGGTTGCTCTGTTAACCCAAAAGCTGAGCCTCTCTGGTTTGACTCCTCAGTTGGCTCCTAGGAGAAAGGTGCATTCTTCCTGCATGCAGTTTACAGCTTTGGAAACTTAACAGTGTTGTTGATGAGAAAGACCGAAGATTTTATTAGAAGCTTAGATTTTCTTTTTAAAGAGTGTCTAATAATTGAGATTTCTACTACATATGATGTAAACACAAATCTGTGTCCAGTTAATGTCCTTTAGTGGACTGTCTAATTGATTATATGCCGATCAACACAGAGGTTTGTGCAACATCCAGATTACATAACATCCTGTTTGACAGAGCATCTTATAAATGTTACATAACACATACTTCTAGGAAATGTAAAAAAATATCTTCCTAATCTGAATTACTGTTGTTCTCATCCTGTTTTTTCTATTTTCTAGATTTCATTTTTGATTGTCTCTCACCATAACCATGGCAGTTGACTGCTATGTTAATGTTGTTACATTTTTATGCTGGCATGTGTAGTTCTTGTCAGTACTTTCTTAAAAAATCCTTTAGTTATTCCATAGTGCCTATTTGATTCCAAACGTCTTATCTAGTATGTACTACTCTAGCCATTATATTATATTCAAACCTTCATTTTTCCATTCTTTTCCATCTTATGTAACTTGTTGGGAAAATGGTATGCTTTCACACCTTTTTGTTTTCATGAATTGAGAGTAGAGTACACATCACATTTTTGTTTTTACGTTTCAAGAGATTTTTACTTCTCTTTCATTTATCTCTGTCAGTTAAATTTGGTAGGTTGCTAAATACTTTCTAAGAAGGACATTCCACTACAGGAATAGGGGTTGGAGAGAGAACAACCTGTTCACTCCTGGGAAATTGTGTAACAGAGCCAGGGAGTTCTGACTTCTTTAGTTGCCTTTCTAATAATTTAGTTCCTCTTTACGTACTTACACAGAGGCAGTATTCCTAGGACCAGGCCTACATTAGCTATTATCTTTCCTATAATTTGTCATAAAAATAAGTTATTAGCGGGTTTGTCAAATAGCCAGAAAGTTCAAATTCCTA